TTCTGTTTTTGTACACACAGCCAAAAAAGGTAATCTGTAATTAGGTGATTTACAGCAGAGAGTAATCGGTTTGTATATCTAGAATGAAATGTACATTTAAAAACTTAAACACAGCACTAAACCATATTTTAAAAGGTCATTTTAAGGGCAATTATTTTCTAAATCAGAAGTCTCCAATCTAAATTGGAAGATCAGCCATCTGGTTTCCAACTGCTGATGGGAATCATGGACATCTGTGTAAGTGCATAAACACAAGAACACTGTTGTACATGGCACGTATTGTCTTTTATACACAGTACAATCTTTTAGTATAAAAGGCCACAGAGGCTTGGCATGACATCAAGTAAAAATAATAGAGCAATATGCTAAGGCTTCAAAACTAAATAAGTGTTTGTAAGTTAACAGTGGTTCAAGCCCTCGTTGGCATACATTCCCCAAGAAGGAAATTATTCAGCTATGTGATAAATTAAATAAGTTACACAGTGCATATGCTCTAAAAGAATAGGTATTGCAAGTAAAAGCTGTAGATAAAAAGAAATCAGATAATCTATAGAGACCTGAAGGAGTGGTCGGATAGAGCTCTTGAGCTGAGGAGGTGATAGGAAATGACAAAGTAAAAGAGCAATGCTTATGGAAGAAAGAATATCCAATATAAGAAATCTTGAACACATAAAATGGGGTTTTGTTTTAATAACGGAAGATGGAAGAAAGTTAGAACAAAAAACATTTTGGAACATTATTCCTCCCTGAAAACTAAAAGGAATGTAAAGAAAACTGTCAGGTCCCTCAAGTACTATATATTTATAGGCTGAGTTTTCATGTCTGGGATAGACATCTCTTTGGTGCTAGTGTGCGGTTGAAGAAAATAATACCATATATTTGCATTTAACTGGAAATATTTGAAATCCATGGAAATATTTGCATTTAAGTAGATTTTATTTGTGATGGAGGGAGTATGAAGATTTGAAACTGCAAATGCAATGTTTATTAGAACTATAGTTTTATTTAAAATACACACAATTATAAAGCTAGACACTTAAGACAGACAGCTTGATGCTGTCGGTACTAAATCTCTGCTTTAGCCATTGCTGGGAATAAGCATGTAAGTGAGTACTGAGAGGACCAAATGAAATTAGTCATGGGCAAGACCTTTACAATCATTTTCTTTATTAGGATTTAAAGTACATCTGAATTTCTGTACATTTTCATAAATGTCACAAGTTACAGTTCAAATGGTACTGCATTGTGAAACTAAGCAGCTTTGGGTATAGAAGAAGATTACCACATCTTCTTAGTGCTAGCAGTAATGCGCCACACTGGTAGAACTGCTGTAGTAACCAGGGAA